TTTGTAACTATCAACAAGATTGACGATGGCAATTTGATAGAATATTCTGGGTTAATTAACATCACTGTAAATACAATGACGGAAGACTGACAGAAACCGAATGACAGACAGTTGACTGAGGTATTGCGGATGCAACTGAGACTGAACCGTTACTTGACTGTAACGGATCTCTGACTGACCACAAAGTGTGAATCAACCTTTATTAAGGCGCATACCGTAGTGAAGTTGCTACAAAGACTACTCCTTGTACCACAAGCTAAACTCATGATCAGGTCGAATCTGATATTAGAAGAATCTAAATGGTATTCATGAATAAATACTATTAGTAAACATAAATTCTAGTGGACGGAGAACCTTGCATCGCAAATCAGCCAAAATAAGCACACCCCATACTCCGTGACGGAATTGAGTAGGATTTACACAAATGTTCCGAATTGTGATGTTATGTATGCTTGTGGTGTCATATATTGGAGTTAGAGTCAAAAGGCTTGATACAGAACACCAGGGATATAAAGAAAGAACGTGTTCAATTCACCTCGATCACAGTATTGTGATTCCTTGCACGTCGATATGATCACCTCCACTACCCCTGCGTTTCATACTCCGTCTGTTCTCTGCATATGTTTGAAATTTAAATTCAGAATTGAGTTTTATATATTAAACTGCAGGTTCTATATTGTTTCAAATTTTGTCAGTGAAAAATTCAAATTTTGTGTTGAGTTAAGTACTTATTTAGATCAACTTTTTTCTATTGTAAAACCAAATGTTTTACATGTATTTTGCTTTTAATCTGCTTAAAATTCAAATGGATAGAAGGTAAATCTAAGTTTTAATAGGTTATACACGTCAACATTCTATGTGTTCAAAATTACTCCTGAAACGAGTTTTGTACTGTAAATTAAAAACTCCATTTCGTGTTGATCTTTAATATGTATGAGAAATTACAGAATAGTAATTTGTATTTAGTATCAACATAAGCCAAATATTTACGTTGATGTTCGTTAAAATTCTTTTACGCTCTAATATTCATAAAATACAAACTCAAATAAACATCTATTAATTCTCATAATTGCACACTTTGCTCCCTCATCAACAATGAATTTAAATTTAACTTAATTAAGATTGTGCCAATTAACCTATATAGTGAACTAAACAAAGTTCTAGTTTAATTTGCCCAACAATATACCTGCACATTGGGTGGACTACTAGTGTAACAGTTGCAGTGAAAATATCTGCTTATTCAGGCCAACTAGACAGTTCCGATTTAATTACAACAGTAACTTTAACTCGTTGTCCTCTGCAGTGGTGGATAGTTTAAGTGACACGTTAACTTATTTCAACGTATATTTTGACAAATGAAAAATGAATCCATTTAGAATGTTTGTGTGCGTTCAATTGTACTTATTAGATCATCTTGTAATGCATAAAAAAGTTTAGAAAAACAGTCAAACAGTAGTAGTATTCACGTAGCTACTATTAGCTTCAAGTAGGAAATATCTTGAACTTTGGTATTTTTTATAACTCTTAAAGTTAGGTATGGTTGTGTGAGCTTAAGATTTCACTTCTATGATTTATTTTGTGTACCATAACAGAGTCTTCATCTTTGACTATCTCTTATTTGAAATTTATAAGAGTAAAGGAAAAACCCGTTTAGAACTGTTCAAATTGTTTTGGTATTGATAAAATATGTTGATTTTGCTTGTGTTCTATATTTCTTTTAGTTGTTGACTGCGACTTATAACTCTGCCTTTCACATAGTTCTCAGACCGTAATGCCCGGTCAGATATAATATCCTCATGGGACGTATTGAGCAAAATAGAGTCAGCTGTGCAGTAAAATACAAACTGAACTGATAAAATTAAAGCACCAGGATTTGAACCCGCGACATTGGTGCCTTAGTTTCATAGTTAATAACGATAACAAAAGCCCACATGAATATAAATACTTGAACTTCTATAATTGCAACACTTTGTAATATCTTTTGGACACTCCGCTTTGTCCAAATAACAAAAAAATCTTAATCTTTTGTTTGGTAACAGCTGAGCATGAAAAGGTTTACCAACTTAAACCACGTAAGTGCGTTCACGTAATTATATGTTTGTTCAAGTTTACACATCGAGATCCTACAAGCTTGTATCCTTTTCTCACAACGCCAGAGAAATACGTGTTCAACACTTCTAGATCGACATTGTAAAGCTTGGCACGTTTGTGATCACTTCTCTTGCTTCTCAGTATCTTACTCTTATTTTTCACCCTTGACATCTCGCGTCTAAAATTACATTGTAGTATGTCAGGTGTGAGCAAATTAATCAAATTGCTTTTTGTGTTTGTTTTTACAATATCGCAAAACCCAAACAAGAATTATGAAACAAAATTGTTGGTTTAGTGTTCAAAATCATGGTTTTAGCTCGTTTATAAGCAATGGTCGTCAATGGTGTCATTTAGCACTTCCATAACGTTGTTCGATGATTTTCATACGTCAACCCTTAACAACCAATGATGGATGTTACATGATTATGAAATCCATTGCCTTGTTGTGAATGAGGTCTTATTGTATTTACCTCATACTTTTTACATAATAGTCTAGACTAGTAATAAGAACTTCCAGTAAAATTATAATTAGTGAGTGGTTTATACCTTTTTTTAGGGGTTTATGTTTTTTGTTTTACTTTGGGTTTTCTTTCAAAAAATGTTTAGACAATAAGCTCGCTGTTGTTGGATTCTTTACGTAAAAAGTAATAAGTTATTCGAAATATGATAGAAAGTAAAATATCTAAGTTATCTTTTATAACTTACCAACACATCCACTATTTTATCGATTCACTAAATAAGATTATAGTTTTATAACAATAAAATTAACTAAGTTAAAACCACGAATGTGAAGCATGGACGAATAATAATGAAATAAAACAGTATAATAATAAAATAATATCTTCAAATAAACTTGAGTTTTCATTTTAACCATATTTAATGTAATAATGGTAAAAAATGGTTTTGTATTTGAAAAATATTGTGGAAAGTATTAATATTAAATATAATTTGTGAAAAATATTGTTGAAAAAAACATTAGTGGAATGGGTTTAATCAAAATCGAACTTTTTTGAAGCAGCATTATAGATGTTGTATTCTGTTTTATTTCCTTCTTCATAAGCTTTAATTCCAAGTATAAAAAAATAAAATAAGCAACTTCGAAATGATGGCTCGAACATACTTGGTAGCTCTGAACTAAGATGATGAGTTGAACTTGTGTCAAAACACCAGATCTTGTGTATCGGAAAAGTGTTGCCAACAGTTTGACATTATTTCCTTCTTCTCATAGAGTCTACATTTATTTCTGCAATATACTTCACATAAATATGTGAACATTCCAACAAATACTCAACTTCCCTGACATAACGGCTTAGTATTTTGAATAGTACACCATATGGAAGTATTTAAGCTAGAAGACCCTGGTTGGAAAATTATAATGTTTTACAAAGAACATTTATTAGCCGGAAATCAACAAAACAAGTTACTTAAGCCAAGTCTTAATGTCATTATAAAACATGAATTACATGATACTTACAAATTGTGAATGAGTCTTTATTCTAACAAACTCATTTACAAAAATTTACAAAACAATTCAATAGAGAAAACAAAAACCTAAATATTAAATTAAAAGAATAATAAATTAAATTAAAATTTTACATGGCAACTATATGACTACATGGGCTGAGAGAGCCTTTGCGTCAACTGTATTTGTGTTGAACAAAATAAGAAAAAAAAAATAAAAAGCAGGAGATATGGGAAACAGGAGCGTAATAGAGTGACGAGGGCAAACGATGAAATTGTTGAAATAAATAAACATGCTAGCATATTTTTACTTTCCCATTGCGAGAAATTTCATATATTAAAAACTCTTTGAAAATACTTATAATTTGTTAAAACAATGATTTCATTTTGATTTGAATGGTATTTGTTCGTATGGTAGGAAGCCTGCCTTTTATCAGTTGATAGTGTGGGAAAGAAATCGGTTAAAATTCATAAGTAACAAACACAACTTATCTAAGTTCTATTTTTAGATAAAATTGTTTGTCTACGAAATAAATGTTTTTTTTTATTTTGATTAACTAGATAGAACATTTTGTTCAATATCTACTTATTTAACAATTCGTAGTTGAAATTAGCATAAACGTGTAACGAGCTTAGCTTTACCAACACGATCTGGGTCAACAGTTTTAGTGAGTTCAGTTGGACATTAGAAACTGTACAAATTGTGAGGGCAACCATAAAGTTTAAACTTTTATTTAGGTCAGCATTTCCACCTTCAGTTAAATTGAACCAGTAGTTATGCACAGTGTTAGTTGTCATGTTAAAAATAAACAAAGCCAATATTTTTTTGTCCAAAGACAATGTAGCTTCCCTAGAATGCATGATAATAATATTTTGTTAAATAAGTCGACGACTGAAATATTAAACCAAATGGTTTGATTTATTATCAATTCATATCTATGTTATGAGACTAAATCAAAGCAGTAAGCTATTTAATTGTTGGCTTACTAGTGTTTTGTTTAGCCAGGCACATTCTAAACAAAGTGTTAGCCAACAAAATTAGTAATAGTAGTGTAGTAATATAATAGCAGTATAAAGCCATATATATTAACGCTGTTTAGGATAGTTTACCTGGTCTCTGCACAACTTTCGTCTTTTGCACAATTTTTTTTTTTTTTATAAATAAACAACTGTGTAGAGTCATCTGCTATATTGTGCTACATTGTGCCTTGTAGTTATTAACTCTGTTTGTAACCATAACAGATCATCCATCTACGAGATATATGAATCTATGTCATAATTGCAAATATAATTACAGTAGTAAATATTGAATGACAATTTAGTGTGGATTTAAGAATGAAACAAGACATTATTCATTTAAAATTAACAAATGTTAACATTATGATTAATTAACAAATTAAAGTTATCTGATTACTGTTTAAAATGATTAAATTATTAATTTTTTTCAGATATGATATCAGAGAAACATTGATACTACACTCTCCATCCACTACACGGTAAGACTTGTTCATATCAATCTTAATTATTCTTTTAAATGGTCGTTTTAAAGTATAATTCATTCCTTGGAATGTGATAAATGTATTCTGCTATCTACTAGTAAGCATACTGTATGATGTGTACCATCCTATTCATACAATCAGAATATTACAATTTACCTATTTCATAAAAGGAAAGCATGGAAATTGATAGGGGTTTCACCTTGGTTTAATCGGGAAGAGGTATGTGTCTGTATCTATTTATATGTAGGACTAATCCCCTATTTTATATCCTGGAATTCAGTTCTGTTCAAAGTAATTGACTGTGTGCCAGAACCTAGAAATCCCTGCAACAGACAGTGGCTAATAGAATAGTCTAAATCCAATGTGGTTGAGATCTTTAGGGTTTTTAGGATTTGGTCTCTAAGAATGAGAATGTGTGTAATTAACTTATATACAAATAGTCTTTAATGTAAAATATTTTACTATTATACAATTAAAATGAACATGTTTTAATGAATATATTCGTAACAATTGACGTGGTTTAATATATTAAAATTATAAAGTAACCCTATTTAGGAAAGAATACAATTATTAAATACATGAATAAAATATGTAAAATAAACTGTCATAAGCAACAAATTATAGTAATTTACAAAAAATAGATATTCAATATTGAATAAATAAATTAGAGGAGTTATTTAACCAGTTGCCAATTAAAAATATGTTTAAAGGCAAACGCAATATTAATAGCGATTGTAACTACTCCAAACCAATGTAAATTGAATGTAGTCCTTCATGGTAAAAACAATTGAGTATTTTCTAAATATAGAAATACAACCATACATAAACATTAGCAATAACAGCTCATATTGCTTAAAAAGGAAAACTTTTTTGTTTATAAAACAAAAACCCTAAGTTTTTTCGTTGGTTGATCTTTTAGAATCACAACCCTTAATCCAATTTTGAAAGTTTCGTATTATTAAAAGTGAGTTTGATTAGTTTTGGTAACTTAAGTTCCAATCTTCTTACTAAAAACCCTAGCAAGTACTGTAGGACTTTAAAGTTTGTTTACATTGTAAATAAACAATAAGTTATTAAAACAAATATTAAAAAAGCTATACATAGTTAGGTTCATATAGGCCCTGTGTGAAGTCTTCCTTACCGCCTTTCATAACTTATCACTGATATAACTGCCACTTAAAGCTATATTCCATCATTAACATTTAATATGTTGCCAAAGCCGATAAATAAAGTTTTTTAACGAAAACATTAGCTGATTAGGTCATAAATCTAGAATCATTGTTATTTAGGTAAGCTCCTAAATAATTTTTACAATAAGGGTTTGTTGTTTCCTATACTTTTTAACACCTCTAGTACATATACTGAGATTTCATGTTTTCAAAATAAATTATCTACATCAACCGACATTTATATTTCAGATATCTACATTCAATAAATAAGGTACAACTATATTTCAGTAATCTCAACTCATTTTAGGACCGTTTTGATTTATGATTGAAAACGTGTAGTATAATGAAACAAAATGGGTGGGAGGAATTGAAAACCAGCAATAATGTTAGTCCTTAAATATTTACATACTTGATTGAATGGATCGTTAGGATCGCATAACAATAACAAGCAATACTTTCAGTGATTGCGGAAACAAAACGATAGTCAATATCAAACGAACTGTCGGTATTTCTTTATAATTTTAGACATGAGATATGAATACACGTTTAAACATTCCATCCTATATTTTTCTCAAATAATAGTAACTTTAAAAGAGTTTATATTTTATAATATTTGTTTATTTTATCCAAAATTAGAAATGGTTTTTAGATATTCCTTTTCCAAGCCACAACTGAAACACCGGAAAATCATTGTCAACAAATGCTCGATAATATCTGTCAATGCTCCATAAATATTCCGATAATGTCCACTGATGTTCAATCGTTCATCAGGCTGTCATTTGGCTCATATCAACAACCGTAAACTACAGGATGTCACTCCCTACACGGGTTTAAACAACGTTGTTTACGTGTGTCTATTTTAAGATATCCGATTCGATTCGTTCGTCCATATTTCAAAGACACGCATCTCCATTGTAGACTTTTAAAGATCAAAACACATTAAAATTTGGTAAAATAGTATACTTATTTTTTATTTAACTTAAATCATAACGGCAAGTTATGGTTAAAAATAGTGTAATCCAACTTAAGTTTGGTTTGGAATGAGATATTATTGAACACACTATTTTAACCTTTTGGTAGATATTACACTCTTCATTTCTACAGTAAAAATACTATTTTTGAATTGAATAAAAGGCAACGGTGAAAGATAAATTTTAACAAATATGTACATATTAATGATAACTCTTCCTACTAAACATCAAAAAATTTATTTCAAACCCACCAGCAAATAGCATATAATGGTTCTTTTATTTTTCAGGTCCTGAAACAAAATGTATATTTTGAAAACACTCGTGGTATTCATAGCAGTGGTGGCCGCTACCTCTGCAAAGAAGAAAGACAAGAAGAAAGCCAGTGAGAGATTCACTCCACCACCAACTCCTCCAGTGCTGAAAGAGGAACTTAATATGTGCGACCTTCAGAATCAACGAGAGCTAAATATTTACTGCCACTGTGACTTCGTGGATCTCCAAAATGCAACTACGGCGAACTGTTGGCTTTTCAACAAGGGGGAACTTCCAGACGCTGCAATCTGGGACGGTTTCAAAACTCAAAGCAAGATAACCAAACTAGACTTCCACATCAGGACGCAAAACACCCTAACGTTTATTCCAACCAGAGCTTTGTCACACCTGAGAGAACTGAAGACGTTGGAGATCGTCTATGCGAGTATAGACACCGTTGACCCTTTTGCGTTCGCAAACCTAACTCTTCTTCAAGACTTGGCGTTGACCAGAAACGGCATTGTCACTTTGATGCCGTACTCCTTCAGCTACCTTCCGGAGCTCAAGGTCATCACACTGGGAGAGAACAGGATCGCAGAACTGCAGCGGGATGTTTTTATAGGACTTCCGTCCCTGAGGAAGCTCTACATTGACAGGAATAATCTCAGTGTTCTTCATGATCGGGCGTTCTCCCACCTTACCCACCTGGGAGAGCTGGAGCTGCATGGGAATCAGCTCACTGTGGTGACCAGAGAGACGTTTGCTGGCTTGGCATCACTCAAGAGGCTTGATCTTCACCAGAACAGGTGATTGAGAATATAAATTATGTTAATTCATTTCATAATATTTCAGTCGTGTTATTATGTTTTGCAGCCATATTAAAATTGTACGTGGGGATATGGCACGGTAGAATACTGTAAGCTCTTAAGATTTTTTCAGGTTGGTGGTCTTTTGATATTGCTGGTATTTTATATATACAGGGTGTTGTTAAAATGTTATATATGTTATATAAAGTGTTGTTCCATGCAAGAGTGCATGGAAGTGTTTAAGTTCTCCCAGGTATTTATTTGTATTAAGTTATATAGGCATATTTTTTGCAACCATCTCTTAACTTGCCTATAGCCTCACTTAGAATTGCAAAACATTTACTGAAAACTGCAATTCTCTTAAAAGTGTGGTTGACAATGTTATAGAGTACAGTACTCAAAACAGATTATTTGTTTAATCTTTTCCATTCTCCTTGACCTTTATGGCTTTTTATTTTTTTCCTTATAAACAATTATTATTCTATTTTGTTTTCATGAAAGTCCTTCATTCTATTTTAGGTACATTAGTAATTGGACTTTCTTTTTCAGCCTGACGATGCTGGGAGATTACACATTCTCAGAGATGCCCCAACTAGAAGAGCTGCTGGTAGAAGGCAACAGCATCCAATATATCAGCGAGCGCGCCTTCTCAGGGGTGTCCGGTCTCAACCGCCTTGTACTCAGCGAGAACAAGCTGCAGGTTTGTGTTTCTGAGTAAATAACTTCTTGATGAGCATTGAACGTGTTGGAAATTTGCGGAAAGTAAATAAAATATATGTCTAATAACACTTAAACATATATTAACGCTAATACTTTTAACTCACAAGACGGTAAATATACATAAAATATGGTAAATGGTGATCGATTTCGATTGGACATTCCAATCATCTGACCCAATAGGCGAATGACAAGAATCTTGAATGGGACTTATATCCTATTGGCTACTGGACTCAAGTTGTACTTATAGAAATATATTGGCCAGTGCTTCCGGTAACCAATAGGATATAAGTAGGACGCCATTCAAGATTCTTGTCATTCGCCTATTGGATCAGATGATGATTGAAGTGTCCAATTAAAATTGATCACCACTTACCGTATTTTATTTATATTTGTCGTCTTGTAAGTTGATAGTATAAGCGTAAATGTTTGTTTTAAGTGTTATTAGACGTATCTTTGATTTACTTTCCGTTTTTGAGTAAAATAGTAAATTATTTTCACATTCGTGTGGATGTAAGATAAAGATAAATTACAAAATCGCAAATCTTTTTCGTCAATTTAAGTCTTCTTGAGGTAATAAAAAGTAAGGTAAAATATTAGAAATTGCTGTTGGATATTGTATCTGTGCATAATACAAATGTTGTGAGATCCTTGACTTCGGAAAATTTAAATAGAATACTTATCAATACGGAACAATCTATTTTAGTTTCCTTTTGACATGTCTACAGTTACAACTAATCAGGATAATAACAAATTTGTACGTTTAAAAAAAAGGGAAAGGGTCATAACATATCATTAGACTAAAGTAATATTTTTTTCATTCTATTCAGGTATTGAGTGGCAACGTGCTGTCGTCAGTGCCCAAAGTAAGATTCCTGGACTTGAGAGATAACGGCTTGAGGACTCTGACATACGACACGATCAGCCCCATACTACCCAACCTGAGGAATGTCACTTCATACTTCTTTATTGAAGGTAAAATCAGCCACCTATGTGTTTACAGCAAATCATTGCAATCCAAGTTTATTAAAAAATTGTCATCAGGAATGAAAAGGTATTGAAGGTATTGTTTAAAGGTGATTCATCAAGGTATTCAACATGGTATTGAATCATACTAACGAAGGTTTATGTTAGCATGTCAACAATCGGCAAATCCAAATTTTCAATAGTTACCACAATAGGTGCATTGCAGATCCCAACCACTTTTTGATCGAAATACTAATGTTTTACGAGAATGTTAGTGTCCCCATTCTCACATCAGTAATGTGTAGAACCTTACTAGAAATGGATACAAAATCATCAAAAAGCTTCAACACAAGTTGATTTACCATGACAAAGGTTAATGTAGGTCTAATCGTCAATCTTTTTATCGCTGAAAAACAATAAAAAAACTATTTTGTAAGTATGGTGGTTGATATCCAAAGTAACTTCTAATCAACAGGACTTTATCATAATTTATTTTAGTATTTTGCAAGGATAATATTAGCTGTAAAATGTGTAATAGAATCAATTATTGTCCAGAAAAATATTAAACCTTAAACATGGCAGCCCGTTCGCTCAATGAATAAAAATCTGTTGTACGTCACCAACTAGTCATAAATTCATTAATTTCATGTATTACAACATTGCTTTTAACATAACTGTGTTTCAGGAAACCGATTCTCCTGCGACTGTCGGCTGGCGTGGATGCACACTTTGCTGAACGAAACACCCAATGAGCACGTCCGTAACGTACTCGAGGAACTAACGTGTTTTTGGAACGACTCGGACCACCACCCGGTGGAGGGGGGAGTCGCGCCATTGACGTCACATAGTCACCGCCCCCACCACGTGGAGCCCAATGACGTAAACGGCTACGAGGAGGATGAATACGAGGACGAAGACCCAGGATCCCAGAAACACTTCTTGGACATCCCAGTGGAAACACTTCCATGTCCTGAAGCTATGAAGCACTCTACAGACGCTCCTCTCACGGCAGACACCCGCCACGAAGGCTTCCCTAGTGGGTCTCCTCTTCTTCTACCTCTGCCTCTTCTTCTACCTCTGCCTCTGTGTTCCTTGTTCGTCGTAGTGTCTTTGGTCACGTGAACCACCTTCTCCCCGACCTCCGAGAGCTGAGACTGATACCTGTGTATATACAACTCGCAACGTTTTCTAACATTTTGTACGTTTCTTGTTGTTAAGGTGTTTGGGTACTTGCCTTTGCTTGGCCGAGTTTCCAGACTGGACCATCTCGATTATTGTTTTCGATGTACAATATAAGTGTTCTAGTTATTTTGAATTGTCGGCACTGAGCAAAATTGGTGTTCGTCTAAAATGTTTTATCAGGGTTACTAAGGACAATTATTCAGGAGATTTGCATTTTTGTATTGAAAACAAACTAGGTGGATTGGCTTTCAAGAGTCCATCAAGAAACTAAAATTAAACTTATTTCATTGCGATCGAACCAAAAGAAATTCTAGTTTATTATTTAGCACATCACTTCACTATGTTAAACGTTGTAAATATTTTTCAACAAAGGTTAATTTGTACTGCAATGTAAATATGAAAAAGCTTCCTAAAAAAATTTTGCATTTTTTTATTTCTCGTTTTCCTTATACTCGTTTTCTAATATAAGTTATCTTTAAATTCAACAACGATTCAAAAACACTAACTCTTTTGATTAATGGTTATGTTGTTTAGTCGGATGAATGTGTTTCATTGAGAGCATATGTCTCATTATTATTGTTTCTAAAGATTATTGTAACATTCCAGAGAGAAACTTTGGTATTGTATCTTGTGTACATAATGCTATGTAAATATAACACTAGCAAAGCCTATGCTAACATGTAAAAAATATTAATAATGGGGCCCTTTTTTATGTATTATAATTTTAAAACTTCAAACTTTTAGCTTCCCTACCTTTATTTAATGAGGAAACGGCAACAAAATAATATATTAAATTAGCTTCATATTTTTCACCAAACATGTACAAATAGCTCTGAAGCGTATTTTGCTATCCATACGAACTGTGTATTTGTAATGTTTCTCTTTTAAAAGTGCACGCTACTTCTGCAGGAAGTTTGTACAGTTTGTTACGGTTTCGTAATCTTTTCTTCATAACTGTATAATGTATATTGATTTCAATATGAATATGTGGTAGTAAGTGTCACCATCTGCTGATTCTAATACAGAACACTGTAAAAGTCCATATATTTGTTACTTAACTGAAAATAAAGTCCAAATGTGTTTAGTTTTCAATAAATGTATTTCTATGTAACGCTACGGTATTTGTAATTTCCCTTGTAATATTAGTTGTATACCTCATTTGTCGAAAATATTTTAAAATGCTGAAAAAGTCCATGATACATATACATAGAATTTATAGTGGTAGGGGATTTTATCTCTTGGAAAACATATACCAGAGAGTAAACAAACGTAAATTTGTATCCCGAATTCAGAGTATGGCCGTAAAAAATCGTTCCCTCGTCTGAAACATTCATATTGGCTCCTGCGGCATTTCCGATTCCACGTCCGGAATCAAAACACTTTTATTGAAGGCCTACACATTTGATATCAAAAGCAAATATCATATCTTTGATTATCAGATTTTCCAATCCAATTCAGCTATTTGCATCAGTGGATATCAAGTCTAGGATTAAATACTAACCATGTTCGAACTTTCAAAATTGTTGTGAATACATTGCCACCATAAAACAGGCATTTTACTAACATTATTTACACATTGTTGTGTCAGCGATTTTTCCAATAAAAGACATCCGTGTATGCAGGCAAAATAAAAGTTAAGTAAAACTATATCTTTACATTCCAATGTTCAAGAAAAATTGAATAGGTCCCGATAATTGTTTCTAACCATAAACTAAATTATAAGTGTTTGTTCCTGATATTGAAAAATATTAAATATCTTTGCTTAAAATGTTTAGCTGTATTGCAGTGCTCCGTTTTGATAATGTACTTTCACTTAATCGTTTCAATGTATTTACACTATATCAAAATAATGAAAAAACCGTTAAAAAAGTAAAAATTTTAGGTTTCATACTTAGAGTTTAAATCCGTATTATATTTGTTAAACCAGTCGTAATGTATTTTTTACAAGGTAAGATAAACCAAATGAAGTAGGAAAAATTATTCTGTAGCTTAAACTAATACAACCGACAGTGCATCCTGAAACTATAGGGGAACTCCTCTTAACCCATATACACTTTTGTTTCGTATTGAATTAAACAATACTATTCTTTTTTATTTGGAATGATTATTTTCTTTAAACATAAGCCGTTGTTTCGTATACATTACTTCATTATAAATATAATAAGGATTGCTAGAAAGTAAATGCTCTATAAACATAACTTTTAGTATCCCCAAACGAGTTTTGTGCTTTGGGTAATTGCATAATACTATAATTTATAGGGGTGAAATAATAATAATATTAATAGACTTCCTATTTCTTTGATTATTAATTGAAAAAAAGTCACCGTTCAGTGTTCCTGCTAATTAAAAGTAACTGTTTCTCTAAAACTAAGACACTTAAACATTTTTTTTTATATAGCTGGTTAACTATTTTTTTTCGTATGTTATCTTAGATGCGGGTTTTCCGATTAAGTGTAAAATCTCTTTCCCAAAATACCCATATTGTTTTGCATCGATAGATTAAGGTGTCTGGTCGTAAGTTGCAAGCTATTAACTCCAATGTCACTGCCTAATTACGTAGCTAAAAGTTATTATTGATTGGCAAGGTTTTATCCCGTGACACCTGGGAAGAAGTCTTGGTCAAACCACCACACCATGAAACGGGTGATGATATACAACTCGTGAATAATAAATATATACAAACTAATTTTGTGCAACGATGGAAACATGTAGAGTAACACTATTAATTTACCTTATATTCAAATATAAAATTACCTAAGTTAACTCACACTCAAGTTCCCCACCTAGACAGACTGCCACCAGCCACAGGTGCACGATGCGAGCTGCCAGCAGACGGAATGGTCCATTGGTTCCCTCCCATCCATCCAAATCATCAATACATCACTCTCAATTCATTCTATTTGTCTAGCTTCTGTTTTGGATCAGACGAAAATAAAACGTATCAAAACGACTAAACATTACTGATAAGTAGTACATCGATTTTATGTGGGCATAAGACATTATTTCAACAGGACAAGTTCTTTATAAACCTCTGATTTTTTCAAACACTTTTAACCCTGTTTCTACTGGATACAGTCCTTACATACATACATACATACATACAGGTTCCTCTTCTCCGTAGTCTTGAAGACCAGGGAATTGTCAAATCTTGAGGTTAGGGTAGGTGTGTTTGTGTGTGTGTGTGTGTGGGTGAGTTCATTTGTTGAGATGTTTGTGGTCGTAAAAGAAATCTTTTAGGGTGTAGTATGGTCTTTCAATCAGGTATTCTTTTAATTTTCTTGTGAAGGTTGTTGTGTTGGCTATTTGTTTAAGGTAATCAGGGAGGGCATTGAAAATTTTTGATCCAGCAATTTGGGGGGTTTTACTAGATTTAGTTAGCTGTGTTGTTGTATGTCGAAATTTCACACACAACTACCACAACTTTACCAACCGAAAATGCAGTCAATTATTATAAAACCTTTATATAATTAGGAAATGTATTACAGATGAGTAATCATATAATGTTTCTTTAGATTTTGGATCAGTGGAAAAATGTTGGTGAAGTTCCCTTTCAGATATTTTCAATTTAAATCGTTTTATCAAAGTTTTAAAAGTTTTAAAGTTGATACCCAACCCTCGTGCCCTACTTAACATTAGAGACAAAAAAGCTATTTTAAAATATTGTTAAGTCACTAGTTATTTATATTTTTAATTTAATTTAAATAAATGAACTAAGCCGTTTGTATTACAAAAGCTACAAAGCACCCCATCTTCCTTTTATCTAAAATAGAAACAGGAATTGCCAAATCTTTTTTTGTTAATCAACAAACGTGAATGCATAAATCTGAAATTCAACAGGTTTTAATCTTATCACGTCATTAGCTGGCGAACGGAAATACACTTTGAGCATTTACATCTGAAGATCTAGAGAGCTTGTCAGCTTCTGGCGAAGGTCCAGAGCCACTTATCACTAACGCTCTCACTCGCACTCATGGGAATCGGCTATCTTCCATTTCTCTCACTCTCACTGGCAGAACGTACGATTATCACCTAGGATTAGCACTTCATTTTCTGATATTTTGGAAACCATCCACAATGTTGCGGTTGGGTTTGAGATTGTGATATTATCTTCTTCCCAATAGAAGATATATCTAAATATGTTTTTCTAAACCAGTTTTGGTAAGGGATTTATCACATTTATCTCAATAGGGATTTATAAAATTTATCCCAATAAGGACATAATCAGGACAAAACAGAAAATGAATGTTTTATAATTTATTAAAACAATAAAGTGTATTCAAATTGGGGAGCGTTTACTGAGTAGCTAAAATATGATATTTGTTATTAGTAATAATTATAAATATTATTCACATTAGTTAATTTCAAATTATCATCTTCACCATTGTCAAAATGCATAACTTACAAGATTTAAGATATACAGTTTATAATAGTATAGTATTTAACAAGGCAAAAAGTATGAGTGCACGAGGCCTTCTGACCACGGGGTATGGTACGTTACTATCACCAACACCTATGTACAGTGCATTTACGAAATTACTAGTCACCAATATACAGGGTAAGTAAAAGACAACCAATTTATACAATCACAATATAGTTTTGCAAGCACTATTTTTGTCAGTAGAAGACTTAGTTAGTAGCATTATGAAATTAGGACAAAATAAATGTTTATACATATTACGTATATTTACAGCTTTCCTATTCTATATTAAAAATTTGTAATATTTATACACCCCCTTAAGATTGCAAATAAGTTTGCGCCCTTAAGATTGCGTTGGGCTTATACAAATATTTCCTATGAAAGCATTACCAATTAGATAGATATGATGGATGAAAAGGTGTGTATATAAAGTGATCACTAGTAATATTAGGAATAAAGGTCACTAGTGAGATATGTGAACCAGCAATAACGTGTTCGTGTTGGTCAGCCAAACATGATCTGCAACTTGTAGATTCCTGACACGTCGGGCCCCGTCATATGTATCATATCTGGCTTGTCTTACAACACAAGAACCATATTGTAGGGCCCAAGTCCATCATGTTGAGGGTATATAAATTTTATATTATTTTACAATTGCTAAACACAAATGATTGTTGACATTTGTTTGAAAATATAAATCCGCTTTGCTCAACCCAAATTGTGAAACGTATATTAATCTGTTTCAACTTAAATTATATCATTTTACAAGCCACCCTTACAGAAAGGAATTATTTAAATTACCTACAAACAATAACTAGGTAGCTAAAAAGATATACACTCGATCTAATATTTAGTTTGTTAATGTTTCATACTAGTAAAAGGTCAAACTTTTAGAAATGTCTCTGTTATTATAAATGTTCCTATCTAAGGAAAACGTTGGTTTCAATAGCTAATCCACATTCCACATAGCTAAGTCATCTACATTCCGTTTACACCATTAGACTGTTGCATCGCAATTGGGATTGTTGCACTGCCAATCGAATTGTTATTAAATTTAACTAAAAAAAGTTATTCTAGTAAATCCTTTGTAAAATCAACGGTTTCCGAGTTATTTCAAAGAAAACTTTAAATTGCCGCCATTTTTTATTGGTTCAATTTATAAACCTGATACTTTGTGCAAAGATTTTCCTTACCTGTCACTACTTACGTACCAAGTTTCAAGTCAATAGCTTAAGAAGTTCGAAAGTTATGGATTCATTTGTGAAAATGACATACGGACAGACAGCCGGAAAACAAGGCTCCGGCGACCCATGTTTATATGTAAAATATTCTTGTATTAACCCAAGGAACAATCCTGTGAAGTTTTTCGAGAGAGTTCACAAACACCCTGTATTTTTAAGTATTTATGTTTATATACTGTACAATGAAGTTTATTTTGAACTAACTAACAATAAATTACACGATTCTTGTATGAATTCCCCTAAAGAGGTAGTCTTCTTCTCTTGAAAAACCTATCTCTTGTTAGTCACTGGTTAGGTAAATTCACCATCCTGCAAAGAACAAGGATAGGAACCACTGTGTCATGGTAGTAGAACCATTACAGATTATTGGTGATAGGTAGTCTTTATGATTGATTTTTATGGGAAAAAATATTCACCTAATTAACTACTTGACCAGCCGTTTGCATACTACGA